ATTCTGGTCTAGCTTGGGTACATTTATGATGTAGATCGAAGCTCGACCTGGGATGGGGAACATGGTGCATTCTGGTCTAGCTTGGGTACATTTATATTATGATGCAGATCAAAGCTAGACCTGGAATAGGTAACAAGGTGCATGCTGGTCTAGCTTGGGTAAAAATTTCTTTTATTTATGCCTCATATATAACGGGTAAATTACCCAGAACTTGCGTCATCCAAACTGCTCGCCAGTTCAAATCTTCGCCGTATGCTCGAGGCATGGTTTTAGCAAATTAAATGGGATCGAAAACAGCGAGCTCAAGACGTGTTACATAACATGTGTGCGGCAGCTAGTAACTGTGAATTAATTATCCCCATGATCCTTTTCGGTCTAGGCGCGTAGGGATGAAGCCGATCAAATGACGTTTAGTTAGGACTGTAAATACCAAAAACCGTGTCCGGCACTGAGGAAAATTACCCCCGTTTACTTCACAGAACAATATTTAACTTTGTCCAACAAGCCAACAAACTATTTTGCACCACTATTGAGAAGTAGCTTAACAGGACTAAAGAAGAAATGCAGATGCAGAGTATTTTCTCACTTTGATTAAAATTTGTGATTTCTTTTTATCCTAGAATACATAATAGTATAAACCTAAAAAGTACCAAAACTAATCGGTGCAAAATCTCGTCTATTATTTAATTAGTATTATTTAGTGCTAATCTAGTACTTTTCTCACAGGTTTAGGGATGAGGGCAAAACAACTGTCATCTGACAGTACCTGATTTAGAGGAGGGGGATGGTGTTACGCGGTACCCACCACCTCTGGAAGTGAAATCTTAGATTTTGTCCCGAAATATCTCAAAAGCTAAAAGCCACATCACAGACGTGAATGGACTGTCTGTCTGCATGTATGCTAAAAAACATATTTGTGTATAGAAATTGCTACTACAGACCCCCAGTGTCGAGTATTTGAAGAGGTTTCTGAGGGGGGAGGGGGTATGTACCGGTACCCACCACCTTATTTATAAAATTGGGTCCCTATTTTGGACCATTGTTTTGACCTCGCCCCTTAGTCTATCCTGTGAATTCTACAATCTTGATCAAAAATGTTGAGAAATTTTTGGTTTCGATGGTATTTTCATGAAAAACATGAGAAATTCCCCTTAACCCCCTCCCCTCTAAACAATGTTGTTTCGAGGGATACAGGGCTGCTTTACCAACTGGGACCAACATTGTCCTGGGGGAGAGGGGGTACGGACAATATTTTGTTAATAAGTGAAGTTATACTATTTCATGATTGGATGAAAAATTCTCAACTATTTTTGTCCAAGATTGTAGCTACCACTTACTCTAAAGTCAATAATGAAGGTTGGTACTTCATACAAGACTACATAAAATGACACTTTTGGATCAGTATATGTACTAGGACTCTATGCTGTCCAATTAAGAAATAATTGGACGAGGAAAATTCCTAGGACTGACAAAATTGGATTAGGCCATAGGCCGAGTCTAATTTGGCAGTCAGAGGAATTTTTCGAGTCTAATTACTTCTTGATTGGGGAGCATGAAATCCCATTACCTATTAATTATATAGCTGCCTAATTAATTCCATATCAACAGACCTGTCCAATTAAGAAAATAATTGGACAGTTACCTATATGGGATTAATGAGAAGCTGTATAATTATTGGGGGGTTAATCCACAACTGGCAGAACAAAGCCTGGGAGTGGATGAACAAACAGTGAATGGCGAGATAAAACAAAGAACACAGCTCACATGTAGAACAATACACATTGTTCACCATAATCCATGCTTTCTTTGTTGTTATTTTGTCCAATCCCAAGCTTCGTTCTACCAGTGGACACCGACCTTAATTATTAATAATAATTACTATTGATTATAACATCCTGAAACCGTAATCCAAACCCAACCCAAAAGAAAACTAATCTTTAACTTTATTACCGAATAGTGCCATTTCATTTAGTCTTACCTAAGGTTAATGAATATTTCATGAGCATGTTCTAACGAGACTTTATTGTAAGCTCCTGTGTGTCTACGTGAATAAATAAATTACTTACTTACTTACGATCCAAGATCCCAAAAATGGGGCGTTAACCACTCGTAGGTGTAAAAAACATGCTTTTCAAATTTCGTACCCCCAATAAGCCTGAAGCGAGATGACGTTTTACCCCCATCTCTAGACCATAATCCTTTTCACACTGCTTTTGTTCTTTAATTATGACTAATGTTCCTGTACTCTCTAAGGAATCAAAAATTTTAATATGAAAGAATTTAAAAAACTTTCATGGTATAGAGTCGGGGGTAAAACGTCATCATGCTTCAGGCTTATTGGTTTTTTAAAATTCTAACCCTGATCAAGACAAGCCTTGTCATTATCATATTATTTAAAAAATCGAGGAACATAATATTTTGGGAAGGAGATATAACGTAGGAATTCACTCAAAGTATGAGTTAATTAAATAATGCTGTATATATACATGTACAACTTGTTATTTAAAAAATTATTCTTATCTTAATCATAGGAGCTCAATGCATTTGAACCAAAGCAACACATGCTGTAGGTCAATTGGGGGGGGGGGGGGGGGGGGGGGGGGGGGGGTGACGGGAGGGAGGATGCAAGGGGAAATGTGCTATAAATATATAGATAAAAATATATTTACATGGTTTCTTTGGAGCCATCCTTGAACATTACATTAAGTAACTCATCTACACTATTCAATACCAAGTCTGAGTCTTTCTCAAGTGCACCTTTAGACCCTGCTCCACTAAGCACCCCTATCGTTAGCCCCAAACCAGCAGATTTCCCCATCCCTGTATCAGCTGTCGTGTCGCCAATGACAACCGTCTTAGTCGGACACACATTAAGATCTTTGCAGATGTTAAGAGCATTATCTGGGGCTGGTTTCGGCTTAGAGATTTCATCGTCTCCACAGACAATCATATCTATCAATGGTACAAGCCCAAGCTGGTGCAGAGCAGTCATAGTGCCATGCCTAGAGTCCATAGTGCAAATAGCTGTTTTAATACCTTTAGATTTCAGGGTTTGGAAGATCTTTGGGAGGTCTCCTAATGGTTGTAGCGTTTCTTTGTCCCCTGTATCAACATCTGCACAGCACTCGTCAACGAGTTTGCTTGCTTCTAATTCATCAATCCCACTCTCTACGAGAACCTCCTTGATCCTATCTTTGATGTTAGCAATGGTTGCATGAGCTAAGAGGCCATTATCTTGATAGGCCTTTGCCCTCGGACAATACCCAACAGCTGAGTAAAGCTTTGCCGAGAGGTTTAAACCCGTCATCTTCTCAAGTTGTTCAACATGGGTTTCCATCCAAGGAATCCAGACGGAATTCACGTCAATGAGGGTGCCGTCTTTGTCAAAGATAACAAGTGACATGGAAAGATCACTGGGATTACTGCCATGACCGTCTCCTGCCAGGCTGGAGAAATTAAGCGAGTGACAAGTACCATGTCTGAAGACTGGTCGGTTCCATGGGTTAGCACCTGGAGTTGTAATGCTTATTAGTACATAAAACAGGGGGAGGGGAGGGTAAGAATTTGTTCACACTCAAGTTGACAAAGAGTTTTGATTGCTCCCTGGATTAGTATTTAAATTACTGGGTTTTGAAGAGTGAAACAAAAAGCTAAAACGATAGATGACAACAAAGATTGTATGAAGTTCAGGAGTCGTAATGTTTATTAGTACATAAAACAGGGGGAGGGGAGGGTAAGAATTTGTTCACACTCAATCCCCCTGGATTAGTATTCAAATTACTAGGTTTTGCAGAGTGAAACAAAAAGCTAAAACAATAGGTGACAACAAAGATTGTACAAAATTCAGAAATAGTGTTCAAAAATAGTGTTACCTCCATTTGCATTGCTACGCGGCCACCCCAGACAAAAATCGTGAAGTGCACTTTGCAATAAGACTGCCRTCAATCAAACACGTTGACATCATTTACACGCGTGTGGATAGGCCCAGTGAGTGTGGCTCATAATACTTGTAATAATAAAACTTTTGGCTCCTTTTGAATCACACACGTGTAAATGATGTCAAGGTGTTTGATTATCGGCAGTCTATTGCAAAGTGCACATCACGATTTTTGTCTGGGGTGGCCGCGTAGCAATGCAAATGTCTGTAAAGCTTTAATGGGGATACTATCCTTTTGAACTATACAAATGACCTACGCCATACAATAATGTATTTAGATCACTGGACTTACTGTTGAACCTGTTAGCAGCATAGGTAGAAAAATTTGCAGCACCACACCTGGGCACCAATGGCCTTTGCCACGGTTCGTTACCTAAGGGTGTCAATGCCTAATTTAGTAAACAAAAAGTCTCCCAATAGCAGGCCTCAATGTACCAGGGTGTGCTCAGGTTTTTTAATATGGGGTCAGAGGGGAGTTCACTGTTTGCCAATTTCAAAAATAATCCCTCCCTTCTCCCACCCCCCTAAAATGCTCGTCAGTACGTAGGTATGGTTCTTACACCCATCTAGGAGATAGACGTTTCCTGAATGAGACCTTTGGGGGCTTGGGATTTTCAAAAATATATGACGATGATGTCAACCGAAGTGTAAATAATATTAGAGTTATCAAAAGATTGGAAATTGAGCAAAATTAGGAACCCTCCCCCTTCAAAAAATTCCTTACGAGTGTCAACCCTGGTTTCTGGACTTGAAAAGAGTACCCCCCCCCCCCCAAACAAAACAAAATCAAAAAAGAAATGGAAGAAAGACTCTGCAAAAAAGGCACTCAAGTGTCAATAGCATTTTCCACGAATGCAACAATGTTCTGTTTCCAATTCTGATCTGAGATATTGATCCCATCTCTCCCCCCCCCCCAATAAAAATTCATGGTCGTGCATCATGGAATTGAAATATGGATAAGCCAAGAACAGCGCACATGCTAATGTGCTGCAACAATGTTCTCTTTCCAATAGACCTCCGACCTCCTCGGCTCTGGAGCGCTCAAGCGTAATGTTGTCCCATTTCAGACCACATGTCATTCCCTTGAGTAAAATATTCTTTGTTTGAGTTGTATCCATATGTGTCTTCTCATGTGCAACCGTTAAACAAAGAAATGATACTCTAGGGAATGACACATGGTCTTGATAATAAGATTCTTTGTTTGAGTTGTATCCATATTCGTGTGTCTTCTCATGTGCAACCGTTAAACAAAGAAATGATACTCTAGGGAATGACATGTGGTCTTGATAATAAGATTCTTTGTTTGAGTTGTATCCATATTCATGTGTCTTCTCATGTGCAACCATTAAACAAAGAAATGATTCTCTAGGGAATGACACGTGGTCTTGAGAATAAGATTCTTTGTTTGAGTTGTATCCATACTCCTGTATCTTCTCATGTGCAAC